CCGCCGCGCCGCCGCTGCTGCCGCTGGCGGCCGGCTCGGCGGGCTCCGCGGCTTCAGGGGCGGCGGCGCGGGCGGCCTTGACGTCCTTCGAGTACACAAACTCGACCTTGGCCTTGGTCACGGGGTCAAGGAAGGGGCATAGCGCCTGGAGGGAAGGGAGACGCGTGGCGCAGGGGGAGCAAGCCGTGACCGAGAGCGAGCGCAGCGATGGCTCGGAGAGCACGCACGTCAGCTGGGGTGCGCGTGCGTGTGCGCCACCTGGCAAGTCGGAGGACGACGGCGAGCCGCAGCGCGCGCGGCGCGCGGGCCGGGCCCTGCTTTTGCTGCCTCTGGCGCACCTTGAAGAGCACCCAGAACAGGGTGGGCGCGTCCACGATGAACACCTTATTCAGGCGCTCCGGGTAGTGGTTGGCGACCAGCTGCAGCACCCGCACGGTGAAGTCGAAGCGCGGGGAGTTGCGCGAGTCGTAGTTGCTCATGTCGAGCAGCCACGTCCAGGTCTCCTGCCCGTGCTTCATCATGCGGATGCTGCTCTCCAGGGTCAGCACCAGGAAACCCAGGAAGTTCTCTGCGTTTATATGCCGACATGCCGCGTGGCGAGGCGCGGGGTGAGACGCGGGCTAGATGCAACGGCGGGGTGTGCAGATGAGACCCCTGCGGCATCAGCAGGGATCAGAGGGCCCCGGCGCCGCGCCCGCCGCGCGGATCGCGCTGCAGTCATGCGTCGGCGGGCGCGCGCGGCGCGGCGCGGCACGCATGTTGGAGCGGCCGCGCGGCAGGGCGGTGCGCGGGGCGCGGGGCGCACCTTGGCGGTCGTCCTCCAGGCGCGACGCGCGCTTGCGCAGCATCTGTGGCGGAGGAGGGGCGTCGCGGCGAGGGCACCAGCGGTGACGCGGTGAGGACGAGCTGGGGATGTCTGTGCCATATACCGCGCCCGTGCACCACAAAGGCTGCATGGGCAATCGCACGCCCCCGTTCCCCCTGCCGGCCCCAGCGTGCACCATGACCTCCTCGCCGGCCGATCGAGGCCGCCGCCCCGCCGCGACGGACAGCCGCCCCGCCCCGCCCGCGCGCAGCTTGCCGGCGGCTCTAGCATAAAAATGGTCAGGTGTGCACCCAGTTCAGCACAAGCGAGCCACGTCAGCACAGGTGACCGTTGAGCTGCCAACTGTCAACGGTTTGTTGGCTCCCTGGATGGTGCTGCCGGCAACGCGTGACTGGCGAAACAAGGTTGAGTGCAAGCGGCGGCTCCCCGCCTGCGCGCGCGCACCATGACGCTGTGGCCGGCGTCGTCGTTGCCCAGAAGGTAGATCCAGCCCTCCGCCAGGAAGCTGTCATAGTCCGACAGGCGCAGCTTGTCTGAGGGGCAGCGGGCGGCCCGGGGGGGGGGGGGCGCAGGGGCGCGATGGGTGATTGGAGGGATTTTCGAATGAGGGGTGGAGGCGACGCTGCGCGGGCGTGGGCACGGGCATGGGCGCAAGGGGAAGGCCTAGGCAGCAGCGGCAGCAGGCCAGGGAATGGGCAGTCGATCCAGGTGCGCGAGGCGCCCGCGTTGATGCCTCAGGGGCAGCATGTGCAGGGAGACGAGCTGGCAGTGGCGGCTGTTTCGCGACCACCTAAAACGCACCTACGCCAAACTCCCGGCGCCACTCCAAGGTGTGCTTGAGCATCGCCGACGCCTTCCTGCAAGTTGTTACATCCAGATGCGGGTGCTTGAGCCTTGGATCGCGCGGCGGGAAACCAAACCACCGCACCGCACTTGTCACCGCACACATGTGCACTGTACATCCCGCGTCGGCGGGCAGTGGCAACGCCGGCGGCATCGCACTACTCACCCCACGTCCTTCCCCCGCGCCCTCAGGTAGCGCTGAAGGCATGCAGCGTCCACGAACTCCTCCTCCGCGGGTCCCCATTCGGGCATCTCTGCCTTGACTCTGGAGAGAACTTCCGTTGCGAGAGCGCAAGGCTCCAATACCTTGGCTCCACCCGTGGAGTGAGGGTGGATCGCGTCCCAGACATGGTGCAGGGCGCTCGACACTTTGCTGGTGAGTGCCTCGCCTCCTACGGGGTGCACCGCAGACATGCTGAACAGGTGATAGAGATTACAAAAGAGGTCAGCGGTCAGCCACTGACTAGACGCCTGCTTCAGAGCTGAACGATGAGGGCCGCGGGGCGAGCAGCAGATACAATACTGTGGGTGAGAGAGGCTTACAGCACACAGGAGGTTGCTGAACAAAGAATCCAATGTATTCTTCAACGAGGCAGCTGTGTAGCTTCGTGCATTGCGGCGGGGTAGAGAGCCGCGTCGGAGCAAGCACCACTGTGACACTGGCTAGCAGCTACCGCCCCCAACCATTGGTCACACAATCCGGAACGTTGCTTGCCCCAACAGCCTGTGCAGCCACACTGCTGCTTACGAGCAGACACCTGCCTGCAAAAGATAACTAAAGTTCCAGAAGGCTGCCGCAATTGCAGCGCCGACTACCCGAATCAAACTTTGCAGTGGCCATCACTCACTCCTCCTCAAAAGCGGTTTGGGCGGTATGGCGTAAGAGTAGCCCGCCTCGCTGCTGGCCTGCACGGTTGCGCTGGCATACCACCGCCTTTGGCTCAGCGCTGCCGTCGTGGCCACTGCAGGCGCTGCCATCCTCACTGCGAAGCCACCCATCCAATCAGCAACCCATCGGGCCTTGAGCTTGCGCGAGAGCAGCGGGCGCACATGTGCCAGCCGCCCTCCAAAGCCGGCGCAAGCCGTTACATACTGCGTAATGCAGCAGGTACATCTCGATGTAACCATCAAAGCGGGTGGCAGGCTTCTGCAATCGAGGCACCGCCTAACGAGCGCTCCTGTAGGCTGATATGTGCAATGCGCAGGCCGCCATCCAGCAGGCGGCGGCGCCGGGCCAAGTGCCGCCTAATCGCTGTCCTGATCAGAACCCCCCTGGGACTCTAGCCCGGCGTCTGCCGCCTTGCGCTTCCCGCCCGCCCGGCCCTGGCCGCGCCCCCTGCCGCGCCCTGCCGCCCCGCGCCCGCCGCGGCCGCCGCGGCCGCCGCCGCCGCTGCCTGCGGCGGCTGCCTTCTTCTTGGCGGCCCCCGCGTCCGCATCAAAAAAGACGTAGGAGGATGAAATGCCCGCCTTCCTCGTGCCATTGGCACCCCCGCCGCCGCCGCCGCCCCCGTCGTCGCCGCCCTCCTCGTCATCGTCGCTGCCGCCGCCGCCGCCGCCAGGCCCAAAGCCCGGCCCAAACCCGGGGCCCGGGCCGCCGCCGCCGCCGCCACCGCTGCCGCCGCTCGGGCGCCAGCAGTACAGGCTCCCGCTGCTGCCGCTGATTATGAGGTCGCGCCTGACAGTTCAGGTAAGAGGCAGTCGGGCATGCGCGCGTGGGGGCAGCCCATGGCGTGTGGGCGATGACGGGCACGCCCCAAGGCGGGCAGTGACCTGCCCGCGGCTACAAATGCCGCTCTCGCGGCGCTGTCAAGGCCATGCACCTGTCGTGCAGGATGCTCGCGTGTCTCCTCAGGAACCACGAACACACGTGTGCAGCGCACGACACGCAGACGCTCCCAAACCTTCCTTCTCTACTTTCGGGAGTGCGTTGGCGTGATCACGTGCGCTCACGCGAGCCGACATGCACGTGTGCATGCGCGCGCATGCAGCCGTTGTCCGTTCTCCCGGCCGCCCGCACACCTGGGGTGGAACGCGGCCACGGGGCTGATGGTGGTGAGGTTGCCGTCCACGAGCGACCGCAGCGTGCGGCCCGATGACGCGTCGATGACGTCGATGGGGTGCAGCGCCTGGCCGCCGTACTCCTCGCTGATGTACCTGTTGGTTGGGGTGACGCGGAGCAAGGTTTCAGATGGCATTGGACGAATTTTGAGGAATACGATGTTTCAAGACAACACCTCGCGTGAGGAAATTGCACGCTGCATATTGGAGCACCTGGGGTGTCCAAGGTGAAACAACAACATTGTTTGTTGAATTGAGCGGTGGGTGCGAGACGGCAGCAGGCGCAGCTGTGAGTGCCGCACAAGACCGCCAAAAATGAGGAAAAGCAGTAAGCGCGCCTGCCGCAGAGCACTAGTCGCTCTGTCCAGTCTTTGGGGTCCCACTCCGCCCTGAAGGGCGTCAGGTAGCGGTTGAAGTCGTGGGACTGGCGGGGGT